GAACCCTTGCAGGGGTCGGTGTCTGTTGGGGGGGAGGGAAGAAGAGTGTGAGGCAGAGTGAGGAGAGAGGGGGTATGAGGCACAGGGAGAGACGGGTCCCATGGGGCACGTGCCTTGGCGCACACGCCCGTGCCACAGGGGAGCACGGGAGAGGCCTTGCAGGAGTCGGTGTATGTCGAGTAAGGTGATGAGGAGGAGGCAGAAGGAGGGCAAGGAGAGCGAGTGAGGGCAGGAGGGCACGAGGATAGACGGTTCCCACGGCGCAGGTGCCTTGCTGCACACCCCGTGCCACAGGGCAGCACGGGAGAGGCCTTGCAGGAGTCGGTGTCGGTTGCGGGGGAGAGAAAACGAGAAAAAGGAATGTATGAGAGCAACGGTATGAGTCACAAGCACAGACGGGTCCCACGGGGCACGTGCCTTGGTGCATGCACCCATGCCACAGGGGAGCACTGGAGAACCCTTGCAGGGATCGGTGTCTGTCGAATAAGGTGATGAGAAGGAGGCAGAAGGAGAGCAAGGAGAGCGAGTTAGGACAGGAAGCACGAGAACAGAGGGGTCCAATGGGGCAGGTGCCTTGGTGCATGCACCCATGCCACAGGGCAGTACGGGAGGGGCCTTGCAGGGGTCGGTATCTGTTGGGGGAGGTGGGAGGGAGGATGTGAACGGGGAGTGTGTGGAGGTATGAGTTAGGAGGAGAGAGAAGTCTAGGTATGAGACAGCAGGTGCCGTGAAGCATGCAGGCATGGCACAGGGGAACACTGGAGAGGCGTTGCAGGGGTAGTGTCAACTGGAAGGACAGGATGGGAATGGGGAGTGGAAAACCAAGCGTGTGGTGGGAGGAGAGAGGAGTCCCTCTGAAAGGTACTTAGAAATTTCGGTCGAAGTATGTGCTGTGCAGGGACACGTGGGGGTGGAAGGGGGTGCCTGGGGTTACAAACTTTCAAGAAACAAGAATCCTCCGTCCCCTCTTCCCCACCTGTGGAGGGGAAGTATGTGCTGTGCAGTGCAGGGGTTGGTGTGTGCCAATAGGGAGGATGGGAACGGAGTATGGGAGGGAGGGAGGGAGCGTGTGGGGCGGGAGGAGAGAGGAGCCCCAGCAAGCAGGTGCACCACAGAACACAGCGAGGGAACGCAAGGGGATATGAGGGGGTGCAAGGGGATACGTGGGAATGCAAGGGGATACGTGGGAATGCAAGGGGATACGTGGGGTTGCAAGGGGATACGTGGAGGTTCGTGGGTTACAGGAACAAAAATCCTCCCTCCCCTCTCCCTACCTGTGAATCGGAAGGTCCAGAGGAGAGGGCGACAGCGGCAGGGCGCGGCGCTTGCTACCCCTTCTCTCTTTCCCTCCCCCCCATCTCGCCCCCTTCCCCTCACCCCTACCTGTGAAGCGGAAGGTCCAGGAGGAGAGGGCGACGGGGGAAGGCAGGGCACGTGGCTCAGTAGCCCTTCTCTCTTTCCTACTCCCCATCTCACCCCCTTCCCCTCCCCCCCCTACCTGTGAATCGGAAGGTCCAGGAGGAGAGGGCGACGGGGGAGGGCAGGCGGCCAGGGGGGGGAGGGAGAGCAGCGCTGGTGAACCCAACGACCAGCTGCCCAAAGGATGGCGCCGATAGGTCCGTTGCACTGCTGCTGCCACTTGTGGTGGTGGTTGTGCTGCTACTGCTGCTGCTGCTGCTGCTGCTGCTGCTGCTGCTGCTGCTGCTGCTGCTGCTGCTGCTGCTGCTGCTGCTGCTGCTGCTGCTGCTGCTGCTGCTGCTGCTGCTGCTGCTGCTGCTGCTGCTGCTGCTGCTGCTGCTGCTGCTGCTGCTGCTGCTGCTGCTGCTGCTGCTGCTGCTGCTGCTGCTGCTGCTGCTGCTGCTGCTGCTGCTGCTGCTGCTGCTGCTGCTGCTGCTGCTGCTGCTGCTGCTGCTGCTGCTGCTGCTGCTGCTGCTGCTGCTGCTGCTGCTGCTGCTGCTGCTGCTGCTGCTGCTGCTGCTGCTGCTGCTGCTGCTGCTGCTGCTGCTGCTGCTGCTGCTGCTGCTGCTGCTGCTGCTGCTGCTGCTGCTGCTGCTGCTGCTGCCACTGCCGCTGCTGCCACTGCCGCTATCACTGCTGCTTCCGCTGGCGGCAGAGGGCTCAGTGAGAGCAGCACAGAGGTCAATACCGACCTTCATGCTGCCTACTAGATCAGGGAGGTGGTACCATCGGATCAACATCTCCTTGCTCCTCCCGTTATAGTCAACCCTCATCTGCAACACCTCCTCTGGCTCTACCACATCTGACACCTCCTCCTCGAAAATCGAAGTCATGTTGAAATCGGTGTTAACGCCGATGTGATAAGCATTTGCATCGTCAGTTTCCGGGTTGGTTACAGGGTGCCATAGCACAGCTACACTCCTCGCGCCGTCCGGCCAGCTGCCATTAGCGAGTCGCGCGGATGGGTCCCGGCCGTACCCCATAAAAGCCCCGCCTAGGCCCAGGGTCGCATGTGTGCTTATAACGAATGCGAGACCTTGAGACGCGGATATATTTATGGAAAAGCCGTAGGTGAAGGTGAAAGAGCGAGCCATGCAGATGGGGGGTTCGGTTGTTGTGGGTTGGGGAGGGGAGGAGGAAGGAGAGGAATGGGGGGAGCTACGGGGACGACGACGAGGAGGAGGAGGTGGGAAGGGAGGGGAGGAGGAGGAGTAGAGGAGGGGGAGACGGCGAGGGAAGAAGAGGGCTCCAGGGGCGGGATCGTCTGATTGGCCGCTGGATGATGCCACGTCAGCAGCGACGGAGAGATCTGCGGCAAAGAAACGCTTCCTGGTGCTGCCACGCGTCAGCAGGGGAGTGGCTGGCGTGATGTAGGGGAAGGAGAACGAGTCTGCCGCCCAAAACGGAAGCTGATCCTCCGCTGCTGGGGTTGGCATGGTATGGGGGCGAGGGCAGAGGGGGGAGAGGGTTAGGGTAGGCATGAGGAAATGCTCAACCTTAGGCTAGGGTGTGGACCGTGGGTGGGACAGTGAGACTATGGGAGGTAGGTTCCTTTTGAGGCGCCTCAGAAGTGGACCGTGGGACACTGGAAACTATGGTAGGTAGGTTGTGGGTATCCTCTACTTCTGGGGTTGGCATGGAATGGGGGCAACGCAGAGGGGGGGGAGGGTTAGGGTGTGGACCGTGGGACGGTGGGACTATGGTAGGTAGGTTCCTCGGAGCTTCACTCCTCCTCTTCCTTAGGGTGTGGACCGTGGGATGTACAGAGGACGTACGACCTGACCTCGCCCTTAGGGTGTGGACCGTAAGACGGTGGGACTATGGGAGGTAGGTTCCATTTGAGGCGCCTCAGAAGTGGACCGTGGGACACTGGAAACTATGGTAGGTAGGTTGTGGGTATCCTCTACTTCTGGGGTTGGCATGGAATGGGGGCAACGCAGAGGGGGGGGAGGGTTAGGGTGTGGACCGTGGGACACCGGGACTAAGGTAGGTAGGTTCCTCGGAGCTTCACTCCTCCTCTTCCTTAGGGTGTGGACCGTGGGACGTACAGAGGACGTACGACCTGACCTCGCCCTTAGGGTGTGGACCGTAAGACAGTGGGACTATGGGAGGTAGGTTCCATTTGAGGCGCCTCAGAAGTGGACCGTGGGACGGTGGGACTATGGTAGGTAGGTTCCTTGGAGCTTCACTCCTCTTCCTCACCACCCACAACGGCAGCGATTTCATTCTGGCATATGGGGTTGGCGTGATATGTGAGACGGGGGGAGGGCATGATATGTGAGACGGGGGGAGGGCATGATATGTGAGACGGGGGGGGGGGGGAGGGGACAGGGGGGGCCAGGGGTGGGGTGGGGAGGAGGGAGAACGTGGGGCGGGGGAGGGTTCAGGTGAAGGAGTGCGTGAGGGCATCACATCACACCAATTGCGCCGAGTCGTGGGGTGTGTGCGTGCGTGCCTCCTTTGCCCACACCATGGGGAGTCATGGGGTGTAACCATGTAACTGTGTAAATAAGCACATAGTAAGGACCCCATTCACGTGTGCGCCCGGTCCCTCCCTCCCATTGCCCGCCAACCATTGCTGCAGGCAAGAAATCTCACACACCTGAGGTAAACATCAGGCCTACATCAGGCTTACACCAGGCACTGGGGAGACAATTGAACTATACTCATCCTCCCAAACTTCAAACTTCCACCCCAGCACCTCATGCGGGCATGCAACACTGCAGTTGCTGATAAGATAAGCAGATAAGCAGATACGCAGATAAGCAGATAAGCATATAAGCATACCTGTGGGTCATTTCCCCCAAGCTCCTCACACGTGTCGTCGAGCTACTCACAGGTGATAAAGTAATGCAAGGGTAATTTCCCCCTAAAATACGATAAAAACAGGGATGAGGGCACTCGACCTCACCCTCCGCGACTTCAAAATTCCACCCCAGCACCTCGTGAGCCTGAGCCTGCTCCGCCCCCTTGCCCGTGGCCGCTGTGAATCCCACAAACAGCGGCGGGGGGGGCGCTGCTACCTCCGGGTCGTTCCCCCCCAGCCACTTGCACGTGTCGAGGATCATGGAGAGCACAGCAGAGCGGGGGAGAGGGGGGGAGGCGGAGGAGGCGGAGGAGGAGCGAGAGGAGAGGGGAGCGGGGGCGAGCCAGACGGTGAGGAGGGAGGAGGAGGCGTTGTACTGGATGGTGGCGAGGAGGGTTTGACCGGCGTTGAGGGAGGGAATGCCGACGGGGTGCAAGGGGGCAGAGGCGAGAGAGAGCATGCTGCCGTGCAGGTTCACCCCCACGTGGTGGTCGGGGCGGTCGAAGAACTCGGGGGAGGCCGATGTGTCAAACTCCACTGCCAGGCTCCTGTGCTGCTGTGGTTGGTGGGGGTGGGGCAGCAAAGGGGAGCAGCGGATACAGAGAACCGCAGACACGCAGAGTAAGACCAGCGGACAATGAAGAGAGAAGGCGGAAGACCAGGGAAGACGGAAGGCGAGAGACGGAAGAGATGAAACTGAGGAGCATACCTGCTCTTGGTAGGCCGAACGAGGGCACTGGTATCATCACAAAGACTATCCCGCCCTCCAGGCCTATCCTAACCACACTGAGAGAAAGGAGCTGTTCCTCGTAAGAGGCCTCAAACACAGCACACAACTTGTGAGGTAACACGTACTATTTTTGAGGCGCCTCAAAGATAGACTCCCCACCGCACTGAGAGAAAGGAGCTGTTCCTCGTAAGAGGCCTCAAACACAGCACACAACTTGTGAGGTAACACGTACTATTTTTGAGGCGCCTCAAAGATAGACTCCCCACCGCACTGAGAGAAAGGAGCTGTTTCTGAGGTAACACATACCTGAGAAAAGGCATGAGCAGGGCACCATGCCTAAGACTTACCTGCTCATGCCTACCTGAGACAACACGCCACTGTTGGAACTGGAATTATCAGCGCCAGTCGTGCTCCCCGGTGGCAGCAGCAGGCGGCCGTAGCCCAGGGAGGGCCCCGGCAGGCCGAGAGTGGGAGACGGCAGCATCACAAACGCCAAGCCCTCGCCGCCCAGCCCGGCGGCGTTGGGGGAGGAGATGCGAAAGGTAAAGGAGGTGGAGAAGGAGAAGGGGCGGCAGGGGGAGGCGGGCGTGGCGGGGGCGAGCAGGGCGAAGGGGGCGGGGTGCAGCACGAGGGAGGCAGAATTCAGGTCGGAGAGCGAAGTGAGGGTGAGGGAGGTTAGGTTGCGGCGAGCTGAGCCGGCTGTGAGGAGCGGGTGGGCGTTGGAGAGCGGCCAGTGGGAGAAGGACTTGAGAGGGGAGGGGTCGAATGCAGGGCAGTGGGGGGGATGGGGTGGGGAGTGGAGCAGGATGGGGGGAGGTGAAGGGGGGAAGGAGTGGGAGCGTACGTGAAATGAGGGATCGATCGTGCACATCTGTGGGCGGTAGAACTTGGACGAGTGCAGCGCATGCTTCCTGTCATACCTGTAATGTGATTAGGCATGAGCAAATTCCCCCAAACCCTTTTTTTTTTTTGTTGCCCAAATTCGTTCGGGTCAAACACCCCGACCCGACTTTCGAGGCGAACCCGTTCGGTTCGTTTGACGGGTTCAGTTCAGCCGAAGCGCCCTGAACTTGAACGTGTTCGGGGTGTTCTTAAGATTGACACGAACCCCGTCGGCGTCGACTTCGTGTCGCGTCATAACCAGCACATTAATTCGGCGCGCTGGTTTTCTAGGCGCGCCTCAAAAGTCGCGCTGGTTTACTATTTTAAGACAATTTTACAGAAACTAAGCTCTATTTCGAGCTCAAACTTTGGCATTTGCCGTTTCCGCCAAGCACCTAATCCACATCTGCATATTTCATGGTTTAACAAAAGTATTTCCACTAGCATTAGGGTAAGCTGCGTGCAAACACTAGGGAAACTTGGTTTATGGCAGATTTCGGGGAAGGATTAGCTAGTAGCTTTACCACGCGGTCTGGTTGGTCACTCTAACTACGCCATACAACCACCCATATACCCCCTTCTTTTTACGGGCAACAGAAAACTTTCAACACCCCTGAGAGTGTGATTATGGCGACTGGAACTTTAAACCCGAGCACATTCGAGGTCAGGCCGAACAATCAAACCCCACATTTGACAGAATGATTTGCCCCAAACCGAACGCGTCTGGTTCGGGTAATACAAATGCTCGAGTGAGTTCGAGACAAACTAGTTCGAGTTCGAGTTTCACTCTCTGACATGACACCCCTGTGACCCTACCAACCATTGCTGCCTCTCTGACTCACTGCGAGTAGGCATGACCGACGCGAGGTCGATAGCAGTGCCCCCCGCTCCTGCTCCTCCTCCCGCTTCCGCCGTCTTCACTCCTGCTCCCGCTCCTGCTCCTCCTCCCGTACTCGCAGCAACCGTGGCGCTGGTGGCGCCGATGCTACTGCTCTCACTGCCACTGGCAGCTACGCTGCTAGTGGCGCTGGCAATACCGCTGGTGGTGGCAATGGCGGCTGTGCCGCTGGTGCTGTTCCCGGTGCTGCTGCTGCTGTTACTGTCTTGCATGCCTCGAATCACCAAGTGCAGCGTCACTCCCCCTGGGGGCACTACCAACGAGGAAGGGGAAGAGGCAGAGGAAGAAGAAGAGGAAGAGGAGGAGGGGGGATCTGGGGGGTCAGGGAGGGGGAAGAGGAGGGGTCCCACTTGGAACCAAGGCAAGGCGCCGGAAAAACTCGCGCTGCTCCCCCCACACGGCACGCCCACCCGCCACTCCCCTCACACCTGCTCCCCCGCTCCTCCTTCCCCCCCCCCGCCCCCAGCTGCTGCTTCTCCGCCTGCCCCGCCCCCTGCTGCTGCTTCCCCCCCTGCTGCGGCGGCGGCGGAAGCGTTCAGCGGAACTGCCAGCAGCAGCACCTTCAACAGCCGCTCCGCCCCCCCTTCCGCACCCCCTTCCCCCTCCGCGCACAGGCTGGCGCACGCAAAGAACGAGAGCGACAGCTGGCGCGGGGACTGCTGCTGCTGCTGCTGCTGCTGCTGCGACGTGACGTTGCTGGTCGGCGCAGCGGGTTTGAGCTCGCACAGCGCTTGCGCCACGCCTGGGCCGCCAAACGCGCTACTGCTACTATTGGTACTAGTTCCATTGCTACCACCACCAGAAGCACCGCCGCCACTAGACGACGCGGAAAAAGCGGAAGTCAACTGAAAAAATCGGGACCCGTCAGCTGCCAGTAGATTGTCCGTGACTCCACTGACCCCATTCGCTATTGACACGTCAGCAGGCGACGCCGCCGCTCCTCCTGCTGTCGCGACCGCTTCCGCCAGTGTCGCACCCGCCGCTGGCGCACATAACTGCTTATTAGCAAGCAATGGATCGAGGTTTGCGCCGCCAGATGCGGCGGTGGCTAAGAACTCGTCGGTTGAGAATGTTTCCCCGGGTTCCAACGCGCGCCACGGGAATAAGTACGGCCATGGTTGGCACGACACGTTCAGCTTCTTGCGATGCCATCCCATATCGAGACAGCTTGTATCGAAGCTGGGGTTCGAGAGGAGGTTTGACGAGTCACCTGTGACAGAAGGGGGGTATACTCATTATACAAAAAATATAGGATGTGCTTACGACTGGAATTCATAGTATAGCGACGAAACAGTCAACGGCGGTGATACAGGAACCGGGAGAAGCGGAACCTCTTACTTGGATTAGTTAGGTTATGGCAGTCGACGAGACCATCAGCGACACGAACGAAGGAGGCTACGAGATAGAGGAGAAACGTAACCCATCGGAAAATCGCGACATGGAGAAGACATGTAGCTCCTGCCAGTGGTTGCACCCGCGATCTGCGGCGAGAGATGCGGCAGGAATTCATCGGCAGGAGATTGTTTCTTTCCTGATAGACTACTATTTCCGATAGGTTGCACTCGCCATTCCGAGTCGGCCTGTCCCGGCGAGCTACACGTATGCTGATTGGCTGCTACAGTTAGCGCAGCAACGATCACGGCAGTCATGGGGAGTGTACACCTGCTGCCAAGTTCAGGTTGTATGATGGTTGCTTCTGTCGGAATGCTCCCGCAAGGCGCGTTTGCCGACGCATTTCGCTCTTCGCAAAGCCAAGGGAGTGCATCCACATCCCCGAAATTACGTGCTTTCCATTTTAGCAGCACAGTTGAAACCGAACCCCCATGAATGTTCCGCAGTAGGGCGTGTTGCATCAGGGTCGAACTTATAGAGTGGTTTTACAAGGTAGAATACAGTTCCAAAACGATACAATGTGAAATCGGTTAGAGTTGGATCTTTGAGCAATGTGCGCCAAATGCAGTGCGCCCCTAGGGCGCGTCTCCATTTTGACGGTTTCAAACCTTCCGTACGATTGTGTCGTTACTTCACTCGTTGAGATTCGTAACCTAGTTCGCGAATAACCGTGCGACGTCGCACACGAAACGGAACCGGATGGAACTTTTTGAAAACACGGTTGACACGGGTGATATGAAACCGTTCGATTACCGTCGTCCGCAGGAAAACATAACTTCGGCCAAAAGCAAAATGGTTATGCGCCCTAAACCCTTACTTCGCTAAAGATGACCTCGGGTGTGATGTGTCGCTTTCTATCACTACTGATCACGCTCTCAGCACACAGCCCTCATCCCGTTCATAGGGAGAAGCAGCTCCAGTCTCCTTTCAGTGAAGTGCTAGTGCCACAATTAGAGGCTGAACAGCTAGTGTCTGCTGTTGTCCTTCGTATTAGATTAGGTTACCTTGTACTAAGCTTCGACTTCTATTTCGTATGTGAGCCGTCGTCAGCTTCTTGTTCTCACATACCTCAACAGTCAGATACCGATTTTTCTCCATTTCATAAACCGAAACGCTTCGCTATTAGTTTTCTAGGACATAGCGCTTGCGACTCTCTTTCATGTTTAGTTGACAGATCTGACCAATGGCGAAGCGAGGATTTGACACAGAATATTCTGTTCTGGATGATGCGAGGGGGGATTCGGAGGAGTGCAAACGGCACAAAATCGAAACTGACGACACCGTTGTCAGGCTTCAGGAGCTGTTGACCGTCCTTAGTAAAAAGGTGGAAACGATTGAACACACCATTGTTGAAGATAGAGAAACGAGTCGGTCAACCATTCGACAGCTAGAGGATGACCTAGCTCGAGAGAGGGTTGCAAGGGAGGATAAGGAAATGGAGGTGCATGCGTTGACAGCGCGACTGGCGCATGCAGAGGAAGCGCTGGTTCAGCGCAAAGAGGAAATGCGGAAGATCTGGGAGGTGAGAAGTTGCTGAGTCTGAATTGCGTTTCCTAGCAGGGAAGAGAGACTCTTGTCGTACCATTTCTGCTTATTTTTACACACGCTTGTTGTTTATTCCGTATTCTGGCTGCGGTCATGCTTTCAGGCAATTCCAGAAGCCGCTCATCACCTTCCCACCGAAGAGGACAAGCAGATCGTCAATCTTCACCCTGAAACCACGGAAATTACGCTCAATGACCCTTCTCAAGTGACACTCTTCGGGTTCCTGCGACTCTCCTGCATGCGATCCCTCAAGAACGTCTCCATTGCCGGAAATCTTGAAAAGCCTGCTCTGCTGCACCTCTACTCCATGACATGGCTGGAGGAGCTGAGACTGGAATCGGTTTCCGAGCCCTTATTGCCGGAAATCGCGAATCTTAAAGCCCTTCGCCATTTGGAGTTGCGTGATACTCCAATTTCAGGTAATGGGCTTGCTAACCTGACAACCCTGTCCTCGTTACAGAGTCTTGTTCTGTCACAGCAGTTGGGGGGGAGCTTCACGTCTGATAGCATGGTCTATGTGGGGAAGCTGGGAAATCTGGAGCATTTGGATATTGCTAACACTCAGGTGTGTGATTACGGGTTATGGTGTCTTACCCCTCTGGTCAAGTTAAGATGGCTTAGCCTCCCCCCAAATATCACGTATAGGGGTATGGAGTACTTAAAGTGTTTCAGGTCTCTCAAGACTCTGTTGCTGAGGTTTCAGTTCTTCGTTGAATGCTTGAAAGCATTTCCTTGCCTCGAAAACGTTGGAGTGAGTGATCACCACGCACTAGAGAAGGTGAAGTTGGTTCTTCCAGGCATAAACTCGTTTGTTATTGGTGCATAAATATTATACATTATTGAGTGTTTTTTCCTTGCACCTTCCAGTACCTACTGTAGCCATGTGTAATGGTTGAATGATGGGAGCAGGCTGGCAAGGTAGGCTGCCATTCAGTGTTCACGTGGATGGAGGTCTGACTGAATACTCAGGGTTGGTAGTACTTGCGGTTGGTAGTGTGAACTCGGGGGGAGTGGGGGAGGTGTTAGGCTGCTTGCTAGCAGTGAGGAATTTGGAAGAGGTTTCTAGGGAATTGCTGAGGGAAAGGGGGACGTTTGGTTGCAATGCAAGGGCAAGATTGTCTGCGGGGCGGTGAGTGGTGAAAGGTGCGAGAAAAGGGTTGGGTTGGGTTACAAGAAACGAGACGAATAGGGAATTGGGAGGTGGAAGAGGCGCAAGTGACATAGGGAGTTGGATTGGAAGAGGCGGGAAGCACTTGGAGGGGGGGAGGATGGAGGGGGGCAGTGAAGAGGAGGAAGAGAAGCAGGGTGGGAGAGGGTGGGGTGGGGGGGGCTGTGACTTTGTGATAATCATGAGGTATTATGGGAGTTGGGCAGGGAGAGGTGCGAGCGAGGGACTGGGGGAGTTGGGCAGGGGGAGATGCGAGGGACTGGGGCAGTTGGGCAGGGGGAGATGTGAGGGACTGGGGCAGTTGGGCAGGGAGAGATGCGAGGGACTGGGGGAGCTGGTTGGGCAGGGGGAGATGCGAGGGACTGGGGCAGTTGGGCAGGGGGAGATGTGAGGGACTGGGGCAGTTGGGCAGGGAGAGATGCGAGGGACTGGGGGAGTTGGGCAGGGGGAGATGCGAGGGACTGGGGGAGTTGGGCAGAGAGAGGTGCGAGGGCCTGAAAAGCTGAACTTGGTGATGAGCGGGGGAGGAGAGGGGGGGGGGGGGGGGGGGGGGGAAACGGGGGGTGGTGGGGGGAGGGGGAGGGGTTAGTGGGGGGAGGGAGGGAATCAGGCTGTGAGAAGCATTAGACTCTGGTGGTGGGTCGGAACTTGGAAAAGGCATACGGGATCAAGGGACGTGGGATGTGCGAGGCGTACGGACGGAGGTATACGTGTACCTACAAAAGGTGGCCGGGATAGATTGGGCAAGTTAAGCCGGGGAGAAGGAAGAGTTGGAATGTGAGATTAATAAACAAAGAAATTTTAACATCCCGTGGGAGTATCAAGAGGAAGTGAAAACGCCATTCTGAACAGCTTACCACCAGTACACAGTTTTTGTGGTGACCACCTGAGATCCAGACGATAAAGCATATATATTTGTTAGCTTTCTGAATTTGCCTAGAGATTGCAGCTGTGCTGTGTCACCTCCGCCCTTATCATCATTGGTCGAAATTTTGAGGTAGTGATGACTGGGATCGAGTTACGATGCTGTGGCAGATTCCAGCCGCAAGTTCAGCACTACATCCTGCAGTCGTAACATCACCTAGGCCCAGTTCGGCAGCCACGGAAGAAGGACGGAAGAAAAATTTCAGTACAAGTCACTCAGTGAAAATTCAGGAAAATTGCATTGCAATGGTGCATTATCGGAAAGTTGAGTGGCTGTGAATTGCTGTTGACCAACTCTTTGGCCCTGTTCGGTAGCCCCGCCGAGTAAACTTCCGTGGCGTTGGCACTCAAACAGAAGTACACCGAGCCACACGTTTGGGCACGTGTCGGTGGGTGCTTCCCATCTCCTCCTGTAAGTTTCCCAACTCCGAGGGCCGATCCGCACGCCCTCGAAACTCCGCGTAGGGAAGTTGCGAGGGTCGTGGGCGGATCTCTGCGTACAGCCCACACTGCCCCTCTCGTCACCAAGAAAATAGATTCTCACAAAGGGGTACCTGGGCCACAAAAATACACCAATAGGAAGATTTGAAGGTCTTTGGGGAGGTTAGCGCTGGAAAAAAAAGATTGCAACCGAGGATCGTTTTTTAGCGCGGTTATAAAAGGTTGTGTACCTTTCGTGTCCAAAACGCAGGGTTCAGTGCGGTGACCGAATCGATCGACCACCGATCGAGCACTTTCACCGCGTCCTTACTCCAAGTAGGCGAGGCTTACTCTCCCAAAATGCTAGAGTAAGCGGAGTTGCTCCGCGGAGCTAAGTTTGCTCCGGAGTGTTTAAACTTCCGCCACACTTGCGAAGCGGGAATTAGTGAACTCACTTGAAGCTCACTAACTCCGCTTAAGGGCGCTACCGATCAGGGCCTTCGATATCGAGAAAGGCCTACGGTATTGTTGCCTGCATCACAAAGTTCAGATGAGAAATGAAGTGACGTGCATTTCTTATTTTGCTCCATAGGTTATTTCCGCTAGGCGTTTTGGGCTACCCTTTTGGCTAGGAGCTTGTGGTTTTTTTCACCACAAAATGGCAACGGCAACCGTCAAGCTCTTGGAGGAGATTAAGAGTTTGCTGACAACAAAAGTGGCAAGGTTAGAAAAAGGTCTGGAGGAGCTGAGGGAGGCGAATAAAGTCAGCGTAAGTGAACTTAAAGATGAACTAGCTCGGGAACGAAGCATTTGGGAGGAGAAGGAGACGAAGATGGCTGCGAGACTGGACAAGGCAGAAAAAATGCTGGTGCAACAGCGGGATGAAACGAAGAAGCTATGGCAGGTGAGAATGGTTTGACTGGGGGAGTAGCTAAAGCTTTCATAGAAGTTTGTAGACTTGTCTTATCCCATTTCTCTGTCATGCTGGCCGCTCAATCTCTGTACATTGTTTTCTTTCTTTCAGGCTATATTTGAAGCCTCGCATCGGCCTAACGTCCAGCCAACAACTCCTGCAGATGGGGCGATTGTTGGTGTTTCTGCTGAAGCCACTGAAGTCAAGCTGAGCAACAACAGTGGACCATTGACGGGCCTTGGGACTCTTCGCCTTTCCTGCATGAAATCCCTGAAGAAACTTGACATTCGCGGAACTGTTGATGAAAGCGCCTTCACATATCTCCACACCATGACATGGCTGGAGGAACTGACTCTGCGAACAGGAACTCTTAGTAGCACAATGGCACAAGGGGTTGGAAATTGGGCGGCGCTAACTCGACTTGATTTGATTGATTGCAAGATTTCAGATGCTGGGCTTGCTCAACTGACAGGCCTTAGTTCTCTGCAGATCCTCGTCCTTTCTGGTACCCTGAGTCACTGCAAAAAATCCAGCAGCATTCCGTCATCTGCAGGCATGGTGCATGTGGCTAAGTTGAAGCGCCTCACATCACTGGATATTAGCGCATCTCTGGTGCGGGACGATGGACTACAGCATCTGAGTTCCTTGGAGAAGCTGATATGGCTGAGTCTCCCAAGTCAGGTTTCTGCACGCGGATTGCAACATTTGAAATGCCTATCCCTCAAGACCATCCTGTTCAGGTCCTCCCTTGACCGTTATGGAGTGGAGCATCTGAAGGCTATTCCTAGCCTTGAGAAGGTTGGCCTATGCGACGCCTACGATGTCAATATTGTGAAGAGGGCTCTTCCAGACATCAATGTTTTCCAACTTTTGGAGTAGAGCATCTGAGGGCTGATCCTGTAACTTTATAGATAGCCTTGCACAGATAGCCTTGCACATCACATTAATAAAAGAAATTATCTTTGGGATTCTCAACTCCTGCTTTTGCTTGGTAGCATTAAGTTCTTTGACGAGCCTGTTTGCTGCACATCAAGCAAGAGCACTGCAAATCATCCAAGTCTGGTAGAATGTATATTGCACAAAGGGCCATTGCCGCACCTGTCCTCAACCTCTTGAGCACAAGTGCGGCACAGCACATGCCCACACGGCACAGCATGTGCCCGCACGGCACAGCATGTGCCCGCACGGCACAGCATGTGCCCGCACGGCACAGCATGTGCCCGCACGGCACAGCATGTGCCCGCACGGCACAGCATGTGCCCGCACGGCACAGCATGCGCCCGCACGGCACAGCATGTGCCCACACGGCATAAACGCTGCCTTCCTCGGCCTCTCCATGCACACACGGCACACCCACCCTTTCCCCCCTCCCCTCCACTCCCCTCAACATCCTCCCCAGCTACTGTTCCTCCTTCCACTCCCTCTCCTCTTCCCCTCTTACCGCTCCTCCCCCGTGCCTACCCCTACGCCCCTCCTCTTCTTCCACTGCTCCTCCCCTCAGTCTCGCCACCCCCGTGTGCCTTCTGCTGCCGGATACCCCACCCACCCGGCGTGGGTGTGGGTGAGAGCAGGGCTCTGTGTTCGTCTGGATGACACCTGGATTGGCGAACCTCCTAGCACTGCTACCAGTGGCACTCCTGCTCCTGCTACAGTCCTTGCTACACTCCCTGCTACAGTCCCTGACATGGTGCGAATTGCAGTACTTGCTACAGGACCTGCTACAGTGCCAGGTCACGGTGTTCTACCGCCGATGCACTCCCTGCCGTGTGCCGGCTGCTGCCATCGCTGCAACCACTCATGCTGATGCTGGGAACCATGAAGACAACATTTGCGGCAGTGGTAGAAGAAGCAGCAGCTGCTGAAGCAGTATCAGCAGCAGAGTGTCTGTAAGCAATAGTAGCAGCACTGTTGGTAAGCAGAGTGGATGAGTTGGAGGAACCAAAGAGCAGCATCTACCAATGCCTGTTCGTCTCTAGCACCCCCACGGCTCAGCTGCAACTGCTCGTACAGCTGGTGCTGCTGCTGCTGGGTCAGACTCTGCTGCTGGTTCTCCTCCCCTTCTCCTGCTTCCCATCCTCGTTAGCAAGAAACCCACAACAGGTCAACAGCATGAGCTGCAACTAAATCAGCAGGAGATGCTTCCGCCGCTGCTGCCTCTGCGCCTGCATCTTCAACACCACCTTTCCGTAACTGCTGCCACCAGCCACACCACTCACACCAATCACACCCTCCCCACCAGCAGCACCATTATTCCTCCCGTGGCCATCACTCCCACTAAGGGTTACCGGGGAGCCCACGCGAGCTCCTGTGGGCATAGCGGTACTGAATGTGGTCATCTGGGCAGCGCCTGAACTCACCACCCTGTGGAACCGAGCAGGATTTACCCTACCCGGCGCAACCCTTCTCGCCGCCTCTGCTCACACCCTCGCCTCCCTTGGTCCCACTCTCTCATCGACCCCCTCTCTCCCTTCTTCTGCCACCACTCTGCTCCCTACCAATCCACTAATCCTTCTGGTGCCCCAACTGCTGTCCACTGCCACGCTACAGCTGCAGAGGGCGTGGCGCTTGCTGCTGTGCCTGCCCCTTCCCATTGTGGTGGGAAAAAAAGGACCCACCACTCATGGGAGTCGATGCTGCTGCAGTCATTGCCACTACACTTGCTGACCTTGCTTCTGCCATTGCTGCTGCTGCCAACGGCCTATCATGCTGCTGAGGATGGATGGTACCAGTGCACAGGGGAGAAGGGGCACGTCTAACAGAAGGGGCAAAAATGGAAGAAAGGGCAGACCCAGCTGAATGGGCACAGCTGGCGAGGAGTATGGTTACCGTTGGATCAGAAACGGGCATATCGGGCGGATGGGACGATAGTGGGGTGTAATCGTGGGGAAAAGGAGCAAGGCTGGACTCAAACGGATTGGAGGGTGTGGAACGCAAAGGTTCCTGTGCCACAGGGGGTGTTGACATGCAGAGGCCCCTGGCGCACAGGGGGGAAGAGCTGTGTGCATATCATACATTCCTGGCCGATGGAATGCTGCAGTGGCGTCTGCTGCTCGCCCATCACCACGGGTCCCTGGCCCATGCATTGCTGCGGTATAGTGACTTTTGAGTCGACTCAAAAGTCACCTCTGCTCGCCCATCATCGCGGGTCCCTGGCCCATGCGTTGCTGCGGTATAGTCTGCTGTATGGCCTGCTGTGTGCCATGAGCCTAAGGCAGCACCTGTGACATGCCAGTGGATGGTGCTGGTATTAACGTGGTAACCAGGTGGTTGTGGCGCATCCGAGTCTGGAAGACCAAACGGGTGGAAAGCACCTGCCGCTGTTGCCTCTGCTGCACCTGCACTACTGCTTCACCGATGGAGGAAGGGGCAGGGCATGGATAGTGTTGATGCAATAAGCGGAGGTGCGATACTAGAGGGAGGTGAGATAGTGAGAGGCGTGAAGGGAGGGGTGACAATGGGAGGTGTGATATGGGGAGGTGCGATAGGAGGAGGTTCCAACTCGTTGCTGGCAGGCAGCATCGGGAATGCATGGGCTTCGGACAGTGGCGTGTGTAATTTGACAGGCGAAGGGGAAACTAACCAGTTGACGTGTGAGACTCACACTGAGTGGGCCATAGTGGGGGGCATTTCGAGAACGATACCTGCAGCAGTCAAAGGTCTCTCTACAGCTGCTGCCAGTGGCCTATCAGCAGAAAGAACAGCTGCTGATGCATCAACGGGAGCAGCCACACGGGATTGGCTGATTGGAGCGAGCCTTTGACTGATGGTTTCTGAAGGCAGTGCGGCAGTGCAGCAGTGCGGCAGTGCGGCAGTGCGGCAGTGCAGCAGTGCGGCAGTGCGGCAGTGCGGCAGTGCAGCAGTGTTCCAGGAGCCTCATAAGCTGCTTCGCATGTCTCTTAAAAGTCACTTCACTCTCCATATCCTCGGCTGGTTTTGAGAAGCCGGCTGGCTCATCATTGCACTGTTCATCTCGACATGAAAGGCTACTCCTCCTGCACCTCCACCATACCCCTGCGAAACACTTTCCTTGCCCCGCCAGGACCCCTTGCTTCGCCAGCTCACTGACCCATCCCCTTCTCCTTCCCTTGCACCTCCATTACAGTCGACTCCCAATGGCTCCTTTTCCTTCGTGCCCTGAAGCTGAGTCAACTGTTGACACGTCTCCAAAGTAGACGACTCTTGAGCGCTTCAAAAGCCGACTCCCAGTGGCTCCCCCTCTGCATCTCCTGCTGCCGTCAACCGCTACTGCCCCACCATCTCCACACCTCCCCTTTGCGTAGTAATCCGTTAAAAGGCTCCCTCATTTCCCCCCTTCCTTCAATGGCAAGCGGTAAGGCTTTCAGATTACTCGTCGCTTGCCTAACAAGTGCCCATAGGACGACCTTTCGCCGAATCGGCTCCCAATCGGCTTTTCCCTTTGAAAGGCTCCCTCTCTTATTCCCCTTCCTTCAATCCTTCCGGATTACCCGCCAATTGCGTAGGTAATGCTCCCGGACGACCATTTCTCTCACTCGCTCCCACTGCGGCCCTCTTGGTCTCTGAAACAGCTCATCTCACTCTGGTAGGAGCGCACTCAGGCTTTCATAGAATACTCCCGCTCTTTTCGCCCTTTATCTACGATTGAGAGCAAATTATGGCATACAGGGGGAACCGACGTAGGAATAGAGACGCAATACCGGGGAATGCAAAGTTAGGTCACAGTATGGTTGGTAACAAGCACGCCCAATACGGGCTCGAATTGCTATAACCGAATGGAACCGAGTCCGTGTCCAGACAGCACGGTGCTTTGTACTTATGTTCAGATAGAGTAACAACTGCGAAAAGGAGAACGAGCACTAACACTTCCGCGAAACATGTGCGACCTTTGCGAAGGGTGTTCGGTGTGTCAGCACCCTGAGATCGCGAACCTTTTTGTCATGCCAAACTGGTTGTGCGTGCGCGCCTTCCCAACCTACGATTCACGACGTGGCCCACATAGGCATGCGACTTGAACCTACGGCTCCAGATGTCTGGACGTGATCGACCACCTTTCTGGCGATGTAACGAAATGTGTAACCACTCTGTACACTTAATCTTTCGCGAGATTGAGGCAGCTTTCGGTGGGGCCTGGCCCAAACATAACTGCCAGAACCCCGATTCACATAATGGGCACCTCGCAAACAACCACCGACATAATTATGTAGTTTAGGTGTCCGTGAGCCGAACTGCCGAAAGGCAATGCGAAAGTTTTGCGATGGACGAGCGGATAGGAGCCGTAGTTCCTAACCAAATACCGGAATCCCAGCAGGTGACGGATTCTGAGACGGTAACGGAGTCTGACCAGGCTCGGGAAACGGCTCTCGAGCCGCCAAGAAAGTCGTCTGATCAGGGACGCGAAACGGTTCAGGCGATTGTGGCGGAGAAAAAGAAGCTTACCCGTCCTCGCTCTTCTTCCGCGAAACGAAAACCGCAGGACAAGGGAAAGGCAAAGGAACGAGCGAACGAGCAGCAGGAGGAGGAGCAGTCTAGATCAGAACAAGAAAAGGTTGTGTCTGGCCGGCTGGCGTCAGAGGTTCGGCCGAAGACAGGGCAAGATTCATTGCTGACTGCCTGCAGATACGGCAGCATAGGGAAGCGAACGATCAGCAGGAAGAGGGGAAGCAGTCTAGAGCGGAACCACAGAAGGTAGTGTCAGGTCGGCCGGCAACAGGGCAAGCCGCAGAGCTGACAGCCGAGCAACTACGGCAGCACACGGAGCGAATCAAAGGGCCGCAACCCCAGGACCTTGCTGCGCTACGCGCCAGCCCTCGCCGCCCAAGCAGTCCCGGCTTGTCGTCTAACGTGAGCGTTCGGCAGCTGAGGTCTCTCTTCGAACAGTCCAAGTCCGGAGGAGTAAGAACCGCCGGAGCAGCGGGGCCGGTTCGGAAAGCGAGTAAGACAAGCAAGAGTAGCAAGAGCGCAGCCAGCAGCGGCAGCGGCGGCGGCGGCGGCAACGCGAACGCGAAGGCTGTTAGGCGTGCCGGCAGCAGCGGCGCCACCACAGACACAGACTCATCAGACGCGTTAGGTAGTAGTGGTAACCCTAACCCTAACGCTGCGAGCAGTAGAATGAAGAGGGATGGGTCGCTTAGAGCGGGGTCTGTTCTCGGCCCCGCAGGCAAAGCGTCTCCTAGGCGGAAAGTGCAATCTGCAGGTGGAAACTTGGGTAGTGCGGGATCAAACTTGGGTAAATCCCCCCGTGCTATGAAGAGCCAGGTGCAGAAGCGGCAGCAGGGGAAGCAGGCGCCTACGAACTCACCCTGTGAGGTGCCTACGAGTGCGAGCAGAGGAGGAGAGGAGGATGGGTGCGGGCTGGGAGAGGATCGGAGTCGTTTGGATGAAGAGTGTTTGGGAAATGACGTTGCGAGTTGCAGGGAGGCTGGTGGTGAAGTGAGCGGGGAGGACAGAGGAGTGGAATGCGGTGCTTGTGGCAATGGCGAGGGAAACAGCAGCAGCAAAGGAAGACGAGCGACGGGGAAGGGAAAGCAGGCGTATGGAGTGGCTACTCTTTGTTCTAATGCGGTTGAGATGGATACAGATGGGGAGGGATATGGAGGGGAGAGACAACAACTGGGTGTGACATTAGACAGTTTGGAAGGAGAAGAGGAGGGGAGCGCAGGGGAAACCGTTGTCCTCGTTATAGGCAGTGGAAACACTGGCCTTACAACGGGGGTTGTCATGACTCCAGGCAGAACGAGGCGGAAGAGAGAGGGGGGGAGGACGGGAGGGCGGGGGAGAGGAGGAGGTGCGGGCGTGGGGCAAGGCAGGGTGAGAGGGACGGTGGGGGAGAGAATACGACAGCTGGAGATAGCAGCAGCAAGCGCGGCTGCCGCTGCAGGCGTGGGGAGGGGGGCGGTTGCTGGGAGGAAAGGGAGAGGAGGAGCGGCTGGAGCTGCTGCTGCTGCTGCTGGTGCCAGTGGTGGTGCTGCTGGTGATGGTGGCAGGGTGAATGCTCGTAGAGAGTGGGGCCCCAAGGGGAGAAAAGCAGCGATTCTTGCTGAGGAGATGGGAGGAGCATTAATTGGCAGTGGGAAAGGGAAAGACCATGGGGTTGTAGGCTGTAGCGAGACTGGGGACGGGAATGAGATATGTATTGGGGAGGATGCATTGGAAAAAGCCTTGGGTGTGGGAGTGGGGGATGTACCTGTGCTGACTGTGGGAGGAGCAGACAGCCGGGAGGTTTTTGAGGGTGCTGTTGTGAGCGTTGCTACCGTCCGTGGTGCTGGTACACGCGGGGCGGCAGGGGCGAGGGGGAGGAGGAAGGGGTTGAAGGGAGGGAGTGGTGTGCGAGAAAGGCGGCTGTCTGGAGCGGGATGGTCGTCAGGAGGAGAAG